ATACTCCATTTGACACTCCATCGTCTTTATTGTGTATTATAATTTCCAAAAAAAATCAAAATTTATTGAACATTAAATCGTCTATATCATTTTTCCATGGATACTCCATTTGACACTCCATCATCTTTATTGTGTATTATATTTTGCAAAAAGAAAACAAAAAACAAATCAGCATTTATTGAACATTAAATTTTCTTTATCATTTTCCCATAAATATTTCATTTGGACACTCCTTCGTCTTTATTGTGTATTATATTTTTTAAAAAGAAGACAAAAAACAAATCAGCATTTATTGGACATTAAATCGTCTTTATCGTTTCTTCATGGGCACATCATCGTCTTTATTGTGTATTATATTTTCTAAAAAGAAAACAAAAAACAAATCATCATTTATTGGACATTAAATCGTCTTTATCATTTTTCCATGGATACTCCATCGTCTTTATTGTGTATTATATTTTCCAAAAAGAAAACAAAAAACAAATCAATATTTATTGGAACATTGATTCGTCTTTATTGTTTATTATATTTTTCAAAAAGAAAACAAAAAAATTAGCATTTATTCGTCCTTTTAATCCACGTGTCAAATTGTTACTGGCGCCACATAAAGCGCTGCACAATGCAGCAAATTAGACTCTGCCACGTAGTCTCGCTACACAGTGTAGCGAGATTACGTGGCCTTAAACTTGCTGACATGGTGCCATGTAATCTCGCTGCTCAGTGCAACGAGTGTGGTGACGTGATATTTTGACAACTTTTTTTCCTAGCATGGCAATCCGATAAATTTTTGCTAAAAAGGTGGAAAAATGGTCATTGTCCCCTCAAACATGCTAAAATGAAGAAAATGGGCTCGAAGAGCGCACTAAAGCGTTCTTGAGCGCGCTCACCCGAAACAACAAGAACATGTTTTAGTAAAATGACCATAACGTGAGCTACAAAGCTCTAAATTGAGAGCAGTTTGAACCTATCTGAAGCTAACACATAGACATACAACCAAACAAAATTTTAGGACCATTGGAATTGCAGATAAAAATTGGTATCATTTTGAAGTTGATGCTCTATTTCTAGAAGTATGGTTTGGAGCGACAAAATTGCGAGTTGCGTAACCCAAGCTATACTTAAATGATTGGTTAGTGTTATACCCTTTAAGAAAGCCCAAAATATGTACTTTAATATAGTAAAATATAAGGGCTAACAGTTAAGTCATCTAAATTATAATGGGTAATTAGTAATGATTGTTTGGTACAAAGAGCGAATAATGAACTTATTCCTTTGATTGTTAATCAAATAGAGAACATGTTGCCCTATTTAAACCTGATATATTGATAAGAAAAGAAAAAGTTTACTCGCATATCCGCTTTAATTACTCTGATTTCCTTTTGCGCTTAATGACATAATTAATGATAATATACCGGGTACACACGGGGTGTTACATAAAACATCACCCAAAATAGCCCCATAACATGTGAAAAAGAACTTACGATTATCTATGAAAAAAACTATAGAGAACCAAGTTGTTACCTTAGTTATATTCCAAAACACCTAGTAATCAATCTCCACACTTCAAACCAAGAAAAAGACACATCCAAAGGTGATGGCCAGCAGCTAGGTTGCTGCCTTCTAGGAGATAAATTTAGAGATAGAAAGCTTATCAAGGAAGACTAAAACCATAGAAAGATTCCTAAGGTCTCAAGGATGATACCTTGTGAAATAATCATGGTGTTTTAGTGAGGTTTACTAAGTGAAACAAGCTCTCAAAGTTCTTGAATGGTGGCTGGTCTATGTAGAGGAAAATGGGTAGATAACATCGAGTTTTATAAGAAGAAAAAGATGACAAGTTGCTCTTGTAATGACTAAGTCACTTATAAACTAAACTAGCCACTTTTGTTGACTTTTCTTTTTTTTTAAACCAATTCTTATTGGATAACTTGTTAATCACTCATCTTCCCTCTACATAGGTCGGTCAAGGAGCAAAGTTGAGGAGAGATGACTAACTTACTCAATGGAAAAGCATGGTAATTTAATAGTAAAACTTACTTTGTTAATTTAGTAATTATTTTGACCTATAAGAATTCTTATTGGTTGATTTTGATGGAACTTTGACTCATTTTTCATAATTTATTTAATCATAATTAGACTAATCTAAGACCATTTTAAGTCTATAGAATTTGCTAAACAAATTGATTACACCATCCAAATCAAGTTTAGACCTAATTTTGCCTATTTGCAAAATGGCCCCTAAACTTTCTCCTATTTAGACTTTGACCCTAATCCTTTAAATATCTCCCTTTGGATCCTAATTGACTTGCTTGACATGAATTATATCCATAATCTCGTTATCATGTGGATCACATGATTAACTTATCACAATTCCCTTGATTTCCTTAATACCTGCTTGATTCCTTGTTTAACCTAACTTGATAGTGAGGGTTGTTATACATGTTACCTTAGAAGTCTCTTTTCGCAAATTTAAGCCTTATTATCACATAGATGATGTCAACTTTTCTCTTTAGGGGAGTCATCTTATATGAAGAAAATGAACTGTTAGGGAATAATAATTGAGTATCACAAGGAGGAACCAAGTTTATAGCTAGAACTGGAAGCCATAGAAGAATAATTAAATTCATGCCCTTTAATAAAAGATCAAAATACTTTGGTGGAAACTAATGTAGTAGCTGAAGAAGATCCCTTATTAACACCGTCAACTGAAGAGTCTTCCTAAAATGACTAAGGTAATGTTACTATTCATGAGCCTTCCTCTTGTTACCCATTAAGATCCAATAAAGTTATTCCAGAAAAAACTATATGAACTTGACCTAATGCTAACGTCAAATATCTCATTAACAATTACACCTCTACTAGTAGATTGTTGGATCCTTATGCTCTAATTATAGATCAACTATCCTAAATATCTATTCTTAGTGTGCATTAGGTCAGGCTCGTAGTGTGCAAGATGCCTTTGTTGATTCAAAATGGACGAAGGCAATAAATGAAGAAATGGAGGCACTACAAAATAACGTGGTTGACATTTACTTTGTTTTATCATGTATTTGGATTTATTAATTTTTATCCTAAGGCATTTTAAATTTGTTATCATTATTTTTGTTTATTTTGGATTACATTTAATTCTGTATAAATTTGATGATAATAAACTCACAAGTTTGAGTGTTTGATCAATCAATAATATGTCTTGTGTAATAGTATAAATAATTACAATATAAAATAACAACATATAGTTTTCCAAAAAAAAACAGCAAATATTCTTACGAAAATGGTGTTGATATATTGCTGTTTTAAATTATTACAATTTTCTGCAGTAAATATTAAAAATTTATTAAATAATCTTATTTTAATGTCGACTATACAGATATAGCGTTAGTTGTGTTTTTAACGTTGGTTATTCCGTCGGTTGTGTGAATCTAACTCTAAATTATTTAATGGCACCATTTTCCATGTTAGTTTTTAAAAGGTCATAGAATTTTTTTGCGACGGTTTGAATTGTCACTAAGATGGAAATAAACCACCGCCAAAATATGTTTTTACTATAGTGAACCTATTAGTTGTTCGCCTTCAGGGTCCTGGTTCAGGACAAACAAGTAATATGCACCTCACGAGCTTATTAGATTAGAATTTGATTTCACATCTTATAAAGAATCTTGGAATATATTACTCTAAAAGTTAGTTCAAAAGGTGAGAGTGCCCAATGCCTTATAAAAGTCACATTAGTTGCCCACACAATCAATGTGAGACTATATATCTCAACACGCCCTTTCACGCAAGAGCCCTTTAGGTTAGAAGCGTAAAAATTGTACAGACCCAATTTTATAAAAGCCATTTTAGTTGTCCACACAATTAATGCGAGACTATATATCTCAACACATCTTAACCAGAGAGTGCAATTTCAGTACCATCGTGGTACTTATTACTGGATGCGATTGTGGAGCGCATCTTTAGTATGGCGGTAGCACTTAATGGTGGGTACTACTGCCATTCAAAATGAGACACCTGTATTTAATAAGTCTGTCGCTAGCTACTATCTCTACTTTTCTCTCTCCTCTTAGCTGATATTTACATTTTTATTAGTCCATCTACCTATTCTTGCAGTACCCTAGATTTTTCGCTCAAGAGCCTCCGGCCAATGTCCGGCTAAGCTACAAAAACATCATTCTAATAAGTCGAAATCTGTCATTATTGTGCCTCATTTGTTTGTGTTTCTTTTCTAAAAAGGAGTGTTTTTTAATTAAAAAATATATTCAAAAAAATTCAATAAAGATTTTGTAAAAAGTTAAAACCTAAAAAAATTAATATTTTTCTTTAATTAAAAAGGCAACTTCAAACTAAACTACAAAAAAGAATCGTAATTTTTCTTTTTTATAATTTTCGAAATTAATTCCGAATCCAATGAGTAATTAATTAGTCTTAAAAACGAAGACGGGATTATAAGTTGGGTTATGTTTATCTCATTTACACGAGATAAATAACTTTTCTACATACAAAAAAAGAGTTGGATCTTATCACTCTTTTTTTTTTCTCCTCTTATTTGTGGGTCTCACTTGTACTTTTATTTATATAATATGAGATAATTTTTTTCTAAGAAAAATTGAGAAGAATATTGTAACAACCAAGCTGTGTTACTACCAATCAATCTCACCGTTAGATTGATTATGTTGATCCAACTGTTATATTTATTTTTATCTTTATATGGTTATAATTCCCTATATTTAAAGTAAAAGCTTTAAATATGAGAAATCATAACCATACAAATGTGAAAATAAATATAAAATATTAAATTTAAGAAATCATAATCATACAAAAATAAAAATAAATATAACCGTTAAATTAAAATAATTAATCTAATAGTAAAATTAATTGATAATAATTTAGTAATAACATAACTTAGTTGTTACTTTGACAAAAATATATCCCTTATAAGTTTTCATCAAATGACCAGGCGCACATGACGCGGTGAACAATCCGGAAATCCATTATAAGAAAAAAAAGCCCCCGTTGTACTCAAAAAAAGAAAAAGAAAACTCCTGAGAGTGAGAGAAGACCAAACGCAACTTCATAAGCTGCTTCTTCAGACGAACTAAGAAGCAACGAGGTACTAAACAGTTACCATTGCTGGAAAAAAGAAAAAAGAAAACTCAATTCAAATGAAAGCCAAAACGGTGAAAGGAAATTGGAGCTTGAGGACGAACAAGCTCGGCTTCCCTTACGTCTTCATCATATGCATCTTCTTCTTCCTTGCTGGATTCTTCGGTTCTACTCTTTTATCTCACTCTCAGGTCTTCCTGCTATATCCTAATAATGTTTTTCCAGATTTTGAGCTTTTTTTCTTTGATTTTGTCTTTTGCTGGAAAATATAGAAGTAAACGATCGCTGATAATTCGCAGGACGATGGACATGGCTTGAGGCCGAGACCGAGGCTGCTTGAATCGACGAAGGAGGAAGCGGAGTACAATTTGTTGCCTGCGGGAGAGTTTGGTGATGATTCTATTACTTCGATTCCTTTTCAGGTGCGCGATTTTGTTTCTTCAAGCGCTCTCGAATCTGTTGCTGAAATGTTGTTGTGAATGATGCTAGCTTAGTTGAAATCGGAATTTCGTCGGTTGCTATTATCGCGGCATTTTTATCGATTCCTTGCCTGTTTAGATTTATGTTTCGAATATTGCAGTATTTCGCTGATTTTGTTGAATTTTCGTTAATATTTAAAATTAGTAATGCTAGCTTTTTTGAAACCAGAGTTTCATCGGTTGAGCTTATCGCTGTACGTTATTACAATATGTTTAAAATATTGCATTTTTTTTTTTTTTTTGGATACATATTGCAATATTTATTACATTACTTTGTAGAATCGTTGTTTTAGATGAATTTACGTTAGTTTTGACTTCTTAGACGTTAATGTGAAGAAGCGGAAATATGGAATTTGTAATTTGAATAAAGATCATTGGTATACATATGATTCTTATGGAGGATTGACTTCAATTAACTTTGGTAATTGATGGAGTGGTAGAAATATATTCTTGTTCTTCATTGTGTTCATATGAAATTAGTTCTTGTGCATTGACTTTCAAATAAATTTATCTTTTGGTTGCGTTCCTTAGGTTTTGAGCTGGAAACCTCGAGCTCTATATTTTCCAAATTTTGCAACTGCTGAACAATGTGAAAACATAATTGATGTGGCAAAGGCAGGCCTTAAGCCATCAAGCTTGGCATTACGCAAGGGAGAAACAGAGGAGAACACCAAGGGAATTAGAACAAGGTAGTGTGTATGAGTCTGTAAAATACTTAACTGTATGGTTTCGTTATAAACTGGACAAAGTAGAACAGTTAACTGTATGAATTTATCTCAAACTGGACAAAGTATAATGGTTAACTGTATGGAGTTGGCAATGTGGGTCAACTCATCTTGCACTGCCTCTAACATGTGAAGAATTGGGCGGGGCGGCGGGTTGACCTACCTTTTATAGATGGGTTGAGAACACCAACCACCCCGCTTTGAGACGGGTTGGCGGGTCAATTCACCTAAACAACAAAAAAACAAATTTTTAGATATAATTGTAATAAACATTTCAAAATTCAATTTATTTGTTATGTCCACTTCTGTATAATGTCTGCCACCAATTTGAAATAAAGAGACAACTCCTTTCCAGAAGACATTAAGAATATTGACTGAAATGCCTCCATCATTTTGCAGCAAGGACACCAATCTGAGACAGCTTTTCTATTGCACATTTGTTATTTTGATAGTATGTCCAACATTAGTAGGCTTATCAAGCATCAACTGTTTTTCATAATTTGGGTCTGAGTTTACCAATTCATAATGTACCTTGCATAGTTTTACAACAGCATCAATGAGACAATGACCATATGTGCATGATACAATAAATGTAAAAAAAAAGGCTAACCCGATAGGTCAACCTGACCCGACCCACACTTGGCACACTTTTACTCACCCTTTTGAGAGGCGGCTTGATGGGTCCAAAATTAACCCACCCCACCAAATTAGGCAAGTTAAGCTGGTTGACCTGACAAGTCAGATTCATTTTGCTATCTCTAGTTACTTTATCACAAACTGGACAAAGTAGAATGGTTAACTTTATTTGTTTATCACATACTAGACAAAAAGATTTGTAAACGTGTTCAAGTCAAAAGTTTCTAGAAAGAATTTGTTATTGGAATGACTAAGGTAGCAAACTTATATAAAATGCATAGTATCATTATAGGCTAACCAAGTTGAAAGATTATTGGCATGTCTAAAATTTATGATATATTTTGATTGCAATTTTGTTGAATCTGTTTGAGATTTTCAGCATCGCAGAAATTAAGGTGCAATCAATTTTATCCCTTAGTACTGGCTCATCTATTCCTTACCTGTAACCTGGACCATGAACTTTTTGATCAAGATATTAACATGCGATATTTTATATGCTTTTTGTATAGTGCAAGTGTAACATTAGAAACTGATTTGGCCTATGAGAGAATCGGTGGTTTTGGTTATGAGGACCTTCTACTAAAATCCTAGTCGGACATTGTTAGTTGAATTTCTAGAGGGGGATCAAAATTGCAGAGAAAGTCAGAGAGGAAGGGAGAGAGAGGTGAGAACAATTGATTGATTGGGAGAGACAGAAGAGAAACAGAGAATTATAGTAAAGGAAGTAATTTCTTCTTGTTTATTCCATTAAGCCTTTTGGCCCTTTATTACATGGATTTGGAATACTAAAAAAGTAAAGCCGATAAATGCTAATCCTAATTGATATCGATCATGAGTAATTGATATCGATCTAATCATTTTATAATTGCTAAATTAAATTTAAAAAAAAAACTAAAGCCAATAAATGCTAATGCTAATTGGTACTAACATGATAATCTAATCTTTTTATTAATGGAGGCTAATAAATGTTAATTAACACTAGGCGAAGACCTTAGTGCCTAACATTCCTTCCCTTATGGAGATGTGACTTGTCCTTGCTATTGCCCAAGTCTATCTAATGGAACCCCAAGAAAACAACACTGAACAACATCAACCTATCTCTATTAAATGATTGGAAATCCAGCAATTACAGTAAGTAGAAACAGTGAATACAAACTGATAACAGTGACACGAGGAACAGAGACATAACACTCTGAATACAGACTCAAACCAAAAACCAAAAAATCATTCCCCGTTAAACCCGACTAGCGAGTGTGGGGTGGAGGAAATCTTTGTACGCAGCCTTATCCTTACATAATTGCAAAGAGACTGTTTCCTGGATTCGAACCCATGACCTTTCAGTCATGAAGGAACAATTTTACCACTGCTCCGATTCGCCTCCTTTGAATACAGACTCAAACAACAACGGAAATTCAAGACAATAATTAAATGACAATGCAGAAATATAAACCAAAGGTCTCAACTCACCCTCAAAGCCAAAGACTTAGGCCTCAAGAGATCTCTAGAGATCCTTTCCTAATTCCCAATTCCCATTTCATAGAATACATGCATTCAGAAACCTCTCCCTAAATATCTATGGGATTTATGAATATTATGTCACACGATGAAGCTTGCATCATGCTACACTCACAATACAAGTGAGTCTTACCAATTTTTATAAAAAAAACAATAAACAAAAAACAAAAAAAATGATGCACAAATATCAATCTATCTGCAGGAAGGAACATTTGATTTCCTGTAACATGACCAAATGATTTCCCAATATCTATATATACTAATCCTAACTAATGATAACTAATGGGCTTGGATATTTATTGAAGGCCCATCAATACTCCCTCTTCCAAAACTCACCTTGTCCTCAAGGTGAAAAAAGAGGATAGGTGATGTGATAGAACTACCCCCAGCTTCCCATTGCTTGAAGCACCTAGACCACGTTGGCACCCTTAATTCCATTTTCTTTCCATTAATCTCACCCCTCAACTTCAACTAGTGGTTGGAAATGAGACTGACAATACCATGGATGCTCAATGGATGATTCTCGCCCTCCTCCATGCCCTCACCGTCACAGAACTGCTCTTCCCTTTCCAGCTACAGTTTGTTAGTACCCACCAATAAGACGTGGAAGTATTGGTTTTGGTAGATTTGGTGTGGTAAAAAACGAGTATTGCTCTGGAAGCATAAATTTCTGCATCATTCGAATTGCAATCCATCCCTTACTCTAGTAGCAATGAGGTTTTTCTTGACTAGCCTCACACCTCCATTGTTGGAGGTCTCCCCTTTTAGGTGTTGTCCCTCGTCAAGTTGGTTTCCAATGTTACAATCACCCCCTGTTTTGTTTAATTTTTCTGGGCCAAATATGTTGGGCCCATTTCGCAACTTACTGATCTTGAAGTCATTGGGCCCATTTCGCACCCCAGTAGCCATGAAGTTGGGTCTCAGGTCCTTGCTAATGTTGGTCCATTTCGTATCTCCATTCTGCCTACTGAACAAGTCGACCCAGAATCTAATACCTAGGGTATGGTGTCACATTTCCTTGCTGTTTTACTTCGTCCTTTCTTTTTTTCATTTTCATCTTCTTTCTTGTTTTCCTCTATTTTTTCTGCATCTTCTTCCTTTTTTCCTTCTTTCGTTTCTTTGAGCCTCCATGCTTGGGTTGTTGTACGATTCTGATCAGCAAATGATCTTCCCATATGTCCGCTTCCAACTGGGTTGCGCCGCCATCGTTCTTCCATCTCCTCCGGTGTCAGCTGCATGAAACGCGTGCCGCTCCGGTTACGGTCTGCTACATTATCTATGGACGTTCCTTGCATTGACCCCTGCCCTTGACCTCCTTCATTTGAGTCGTTTACCTGTGAATGGTCATTGGACCCATTCCCTCCTATGTGCATATTTTCGCTTGTTTGGGCATACTTTCCTGGGCCTAAAGAGTTGAGCCCACTTCGGTTATTCCTTTTTGTCAAATTGGACCTTGCATCTGCATTTACACCGGCCCATATCAAGAGGGTGGATTGCATATAGTGTCGATGCCCATTTGTCGATCCACTGCTCACAAACCCTTTGGATAGTCCGACCCGGTTGCTAATTGTTTCTCTTTCTTCAACCTTCTAACCTAACTTCTTCATACATCCCAAATTAGACCAGAGCCTCTCCTTTGCCCTAATCTCCTCCTTCCAATGTCTAAGCGGCTCCGACAACAACTCATTGTGTTCCCCGTATTCTACCATTGTATCCTCTTCTTTCTCTGGTTGTTCTCCATTTTCTATTTCTTCTTCTCCTGCTGCATCAGCTTCTTCTTCCTCTTTTTCATTTTCTCTTTCTCTTTCTTCGATTTCTTCTCTCTTTACTTTTTTTTCCTCTTCGATTTTTGCCTTTTCGTCTACACCTTTTTTTTCTTCTTTTTCCTCCCTTTTTTCTGGGTTGTTCGATACTTCAACCTCCTCTACCACACAGATCTCAGGTATATATCTCCCTATAAATGCTCTATCAAAGCTCCGCCAGCTTACATGGGAACTGAGCCCACTCCAAAGTTTGTACTGGTTGAGAGAACGACCTCTCAACCCCTTCACAACTTCATTCAGCATATCAGCTTCTTGAATTTGGTTTGCTTGTAAATGTTGTTCAAGACCGATCAACCATCCCCAATCTTTAATTCCATCTTCATCTCCATAAAATTCTGGAATCAACATCAACAACACCTTTAACCCAAGTTAATTGGGGTTGGTGGTAGATGAACCCAATGATAATAAGAGGAGATTAAACAAAAAAAGAAAGATAAAATAAATAAATAGATTAAATAAAAATAAAAATAAAAATTGGGGAATGAGAAAATAAGATAAAAGACAAGAAGGGGAAAGAAAGAGAGGGGGAGATTGAAGACAAAAAGGACTAAAAAGGGACCATCTGGAACATTGGAATAACAACAGTTTTTCTCCATTCCGTCCTAAGGCACACCGTCTGCCAATCTATATCTCACTCCATTAAGTCTTGTTTAACTACCTTTTCCCAGGTAAGTTTCGGTCTACCTCTACCTCTCTTTGTGTCAAGTTCTTGGTAACAAACCTTTGTTCTTACAGGAGCATCCGGGGCCGTCTCATTACGTGCCCAAACCACCTCAATCTATGTTCCCTCATCTTTTCAGTTATCGGTACTACTTCTATCTTTCGTCGAATATCTTCATTTCTTATCTTATTCATCCTCGTATAACCACACATCCACCTTAACATCCTCATTTCTGCTACTCTCATTTTATGCTCGTGTTGCCTATGTGCTAGCTAATATTTAGCTCCATATAACATTGCAGGCCGTATTGCTGCTCTATAGAATTTTCCTTTTAGCTTAAGGAGAATTTTGCGGTCACACAAAAACTCAGATGCACTCCGTCATTTCATCCATGCTGCTCTGATTCTATGATTTACATCCTCATCAATCTTATCACCTTTTTGCAAAATTGATCCCAGGTATCTACAAGTGTTTTTCTTGGGTACCTCTTGACCAAGTAGATGCATGGGGTCTTGATCTCCATCTTTTACCAGAGAAAACTCATACTTCATATGCTCAGTCATGCTCTGGCTTAACGTGAAACCTTTAGACTCCAAAGTGCTTCTCCATAATTCAAGTTTCTTATTAACACCGTCTTTGGTCTCATCAATAAGCACAATATCATCTGCAAAAAGCATACACCACGACACTTCCTCTTGAATTTCTTTTGTTAGTTCATCCATTACTAAGGCAAAGAGATAAGGACTCAGAGTTGAACCTTGGTGTACATCTACTGTAATAGGAAAATAACTTGATGTTCCATTACAAGTTTTTACACATGTAGTAGTCCCATCATACACATCCTTGACTGCATTTACATAAAATTCTAGAATCAATTTTTTTTTTATAGATCTAGATCAACACTCCAAGAATCTAAAGCTTTGATACTAAATTGATGGAACCCCAAGAAAACAACACTGAATAACATCAACCTATCTCTATTAAATGATCTGAAATCCAGCAATTACAGTAAGTAGAAGTAATGAATACAAACTGATAACAATGACACGAGGAACGGAGCCACAACACTCTGAATACAGACTCAAACAACAACAGAAATTCAAGACAGTAATTAAATGACAATGCAGAAATATAAACCAAAGGTCTCAACTCACCCTCAAAGCCAAAGACCTAGGCCTCAAGAGATCCCTAGAGATCCTTTCCTAATTCCCAATTCCCATTTCACAGAATAAATGCATAAAGAAACCTCTCCCTAAATATCTATATATACTAATCCTAACTAATGATAACTAATGGGCTTGGATATTTATTGAAGGCCCATCATTATCTAACCAGATCCATTTTACCCATTCACAGGCCACCTCTTGACTTGAGGAGCTGTGTGACAATGGATTGGGAGGTGGCAAGGGTTGTTCTCAAAGGCAGCTTGGTTATCGAGGATGGAGTAGGTCTGAGATAGCTTAGTAAGGAGGGTGTTGGGATCCTCATACTCTGAGAGACCAAAGCGGCAGCGGATGGCTCAGACAAATATCTCCCAGCTAGGAAGCAGGTAGTCAATCACCAGACCTAATTGAGAACGAGTTGTTGGCAGGTGGAGGTAGGAGTTGATGAAATGAAAGCACTAAAATGTTAAGTGAATTTCTATAGGGGGAGCAAAATTGCAGAAAATGTCATGGAGGAAGGGAGGGAGAAGCATGAAAGATTGATTGAAAATGAGTTGTTGGCATGGTGGAGGCCATGAAGGCACCAAAATGTTAAGCGAATTTCTAGAGGGGGAGCAGAACTTCAGAGGAAGTTAGAAAGGAAGGGAATGAGAGGCGAGAATGATTGATTTAATGGAAGGGAGAGAGAAGAGAATCGAAAAATTATATAGGAAAGGAAGTAATTTCTTCTTGTTTATTCATTCGGCCATTTGGCCTTTAATAACAAGGATTTGAAAATAATGAAAAGGTAAAGCCAATACATACTAATCCTAATTGATATCAATCTAATCATTTTGTTAATGCTTATTGTAATGTTAAAACAAGGTAGAGCCAATAAATGCTAATGCTAATTGATACTAACATTAATCTTTTTATTAGTGGACATTAATATATGCTAATTGACAGTTTGACACTATGCGAAGACCTTGGGGCCTAACAGATATTATGTCACACAGTGCTTAATTTCCTCATAACATTGTATTTTCTCTTTATGTAAACAGCTCTGGAGTGTTTGTTAGTGCTTCTGAGGACAAAAACGGGATTTTAGATGTCATTGAGGAGAAAATTGCTAGAGCATCGATGATTCCCAGGACTCATGGAGAGGTAAATCCCTATTAGCTTAATCCCTCTATCTGACATAAGAGGTATTTCGGAAAACCATGTCTAACTGATATACTGAAAATATTTGTCTCATGTTTTATTGCTGTATTAACTGATTGTTTGAATTTCTATATATGATAAAAACTGTTAGAATATTGTTTTTCTTTTTGTAGCAAAATTGGCATATGCCCACTACTTAGGCAATGTAAATTTACCTACTCTGGGGGAAGAGAAAAGGTTTTTTTTCGCGCAAGGGAAAAGGTTCTTTGATAGGTGCAAGCTTGTACCTATACTGCTATACATAACCTTAAACATCAGTTCTCATGACCGAGAATATCTGTCTATTGATGGGAACGGTGCAATTTTTGTTGATGCAATACAAATTTAACACATTAGTGAGGATTGGCTAATTGATATTCATAGAATCACTTTGTAAATTTATAATATTTGAAATGCTAAATTTTTCTTCATGGTTGGTGAGAAATTTTGGTGTCTATGATGCTTAATGTCAATGTGGTTTGTCAGAATTTTCACATTTTATACATACAGATCTTCAACGGTTCACCTGTGACTGTGAAGCATGTGTTTCCACTGACATAAGATTGTGCCTTTTTAATATTTGTGTGACCCAGCAGAGTAATAGTCCTCATGATGCTGGTGAATCCAGACTAAGTTTTGTAGGCTGTCTTCCATATTTTCAGGACCGCAACTACCAATGACATTGCTATCGTAGAAAATGATGCCAAGAAGATAATATCACCTAATATATATATATATATATATATATATATATATATTTTAAATTCATAATCTTCAAGTTTTCTTTCAAAAAGTGCAATTTAAACTTAAACTTCTGTCTACGCTAAAAGTATTGTTTGGAGCTGTTGTTTTCATCTTTAATTAACCGTAATGATATATTTTTTAACAGAAGAAAGTGGAAAACAAGTCTAAACACATTTAAGACCAATGTTTTGTACGCCTAAACTATTGAATATGTTAGGTTCCCTTCCTAGCTTTATGTTATCTGCAACTAAGGTGCTTTATGATTTTGTTGAATTTGTAAACCTCTCTCATTTTCAGGGTGATTTTAAACTGTCTGAAGAATCACCATGTTTCAGGCATTTAATATACTACGCTATGAGGTTGGGCAAAGATATAATTCTCATTATGATGCATTCAATCCTACTGAATATGGCCCACAAAAGAGCCAAAGGGTACGTCTGAACTAAAACTCATACATTCTGATTTGCAAGTCATTTTAGTGAAGAAATTTGTGGTTAGTTGTAACAAAGATGGAGTGATCATGTCTATTGTCTAGCATTGAATGCTTGTCATTTTCCAAGATTGATATTCATCTAAAGGTTACTTGGTGCGGTTTGGATAAAGTGGAATAGATGTTGGTGAGTGAAGGAGAGAATTTTTTTAATTATACTTAACTGTGTAGAATTTTGTTGCAGATGATCTAAATCTGTATCATTATATTGTAGGGGGTGTTATCTTGTGGGTTTGGGTCCAATTATAGTTTATATGGATCTATTTAAAATTGTGAAGTTACTATGTGTGTAATGATTGATGTGCTAGCATAAGGAACTTTGCAATCTCAAAAGATTAAAGACTAATGAACTTTTTAGCGTGCGTACTTGAAATGTGCGTAATACTGCCCGAATTCATATTGAATTGCTTGTACTTTTACCAATATCATATTTTATATTTCTTAGTACATTGCTTTCTATACATTTTTAGCTCTTGATCCTGTGCAGTTTGCCTGTTTTAGAATAAATATTCATTTTAGTTCTGAACTGTTAGTAAGGCAAGAGAGTCATGTATGTAACCACAAGGGGTATGGTGACCACTATAAGGGTATCCTTAACAGTAATGGTATGGACCAAGGTTATGTAAGGAGGTCCCAGGTGCAATGTATATCAATGGGGGTGGTGTTTGAATGGCTACAATGGTGCTCCAAGTTGACAGAGTAATGACTCGTGAAATAGTGATCTTGTGTGTGTTCATGTGGAGAAGAAGGGGGGTATTTATAGGTTCCAATCCGGTAGGGGAATGAGCCAAGTCAACTATTATGGGGAAGAGCCAAGGTAGCCTGTGCCTTGCTGGGGCAAGGCATATAGTAGCTGTTGTCAGCACTTCAGCAACTGCTCTGGCATTTTGGGCGTCTGTGCAGACAAAGAGGAAGGGAGGGTATCCCGAGTAAGACATACTGATGTCTTACGTTGGGGGAACTTGCTGAATGGGTGTTGACATGGCAGCACTTGTCGAGGCTGCTCTGATGTTGTAGGGTTGGAGCTGCAGCGGTATTATGGGCCCTTTGACGCTGGGCCAGCCATAATTAGCCAATCAATTAGGCTAACTAGAACAAGTTCCATATCTGGTTGGTCCTCCAATTATGCATAAATCAAAGTGTTCCTTCAATGTCATTTTTTGCTATTAAAGTGCCGTCAAATTGGTCCTCAAAAGGATGAAATTGATGGCATTAATTGTCATTGAATAACCAATTTGATTCGGGGAAATATCATGACCAATTTGTTGTCGTCACCTATAAATAAAGGACCAATGTGATGTTGAATATACTTTTTAGACCAAAATGAATATTTACTCTCAATTTTAGGTAACTAGTCTTATAAATGTTTTGGTTTTACTTAATTATTATACTATAACAATTTTTGGCATAATGATCGGCGTTATTGCCATGTTTTCCGGAGATTACAAGTTTGATTCATGCAATCAGTTTCTTGCAAATGCATGGTAATACTGACCTTTTCCTGGACCCTATGTATAGCCTGAACTTTATAGCAACTAGGCTGCCCTTACAGAAGGGAAGTTTTAGCACAGTTTTTGGTGTTGTCGCCATGTGACTTGGGGGTCATTTGTCGATTCATGTAATCAATCTCTTGCAAGTGCAAGATAAGGTTGTTTACTGTCAACCCACATAATGAGTCTTGTTGGGGTGGTTCCTTCCTTTAATGCTGGCATGCTCCTCATTAATGGATGCAGGGCTCAATGGCTGCTCAACCACCTCAATGAAAGCTGCCCATTAATCATTAAAGAAGATTCTGGAAGAAGGTGGAGGGTTTCCCTCACCTTATATAAACACTTGATGACATTTGTAATAGGCTAGAGATTTTGGTTCTTAGCTAAGACATTTTTGTGAGTACCTCTAGAGAGAAGTTTGAATAGTGACCTCTTTAGGTGGTGTTTGGTTGAGGGGGTTTTCAAACTTTCCTATGCAAATGAAGGAAGGAATCCAGAAATCACTTGTTTGGTTGAACAGATTCAGTCTAAATACCCAGCTATCCTGTTTGCGTTGCATTTTCAATTTGCTGGTCGAATGATAGGTTTCGTCACTGTTGAGAAAGAATAGTTGGAGGTGGTTTTTATGTGAAAACTGGCTAAATCACTGTGTAGACAAATTCTTGGAGACCATTATACCCTCTCAAAAAAGGATATTATTTTCTTGTGTGGTCAGCAGCTGGCGTGAGTAGACCATTGCATTTCTTCTTGCAGACCATTATATGTCGGACTTGAGTGTCACTTGATCTTCAATTTAGAAGTTTAGCTAACTACTCTGCGAGTGAGTGCACACCAGCTGTTCGGTGTTTTGCTTCTGTGAGCATTCTTCATATTTTGAGTTGCATAATTATCTTGAAAACGCGGGCATCTACTTCTTGTTATTGCTTCTGTATGGTCTCGTCAGGTTCAACTTCCAGCTGCGTGGACTGGCCCTCGTGCTCAATCACCACTTTATACGACCTCACTATGAGTGATGATGGGCGTGAACCAAGGCGTGCCCGAGCGTTGAACTGAGAAGCAGAAGCAGAAGCAAAGGATTCTTTGGTGTTGGGGTGGTGCTTTTGTTTAAAAACAGAGATATTTTCGTAATTGCTACTTATTTCTCCATTTATATTTTACCTCAAACCAAACATAGACTTTATAAATCTTACCTAATTTGCCCGGTAAAATTTTTTCTAACCAAACAACTTTTTTTACATTTTCCTACCAAACTCACTTTCCAACCATTTCCCTATCAATTACATTTCCCTAGTTTTCAAAAAATTTCTCCTCAACCAAACGCCCCCTTAGAGAAGTTTGAGAATACCACCATCCTTGGTGAAGTTTTGAGTGTACCTCTAGTGTAACTAGGGAAGCTTGAATCTTTGTGATCTTTCTTTTCATAGTGAAAGATTTTCTGGACTAGTGTCCTGTGATTTTTACTTCTCTGCATTGGAGAAGGTTTTCCACGTTAAAAAGATTGTTGTGTTTCCTGTCTGTTTCTCCTTCACTGCATTTTTTCATTTTACTGCGTGTTGGTCGACCTGGTGACTACAGGCCGATTTCTGAGTGCTAAGCTGTGAGCTTCGAGTTTGACGTGCCGACCTGTGAATTGCTTCCGCGTTAATTTTGAGGGACCACGTCCCAACAAGTCTGACCCTTCCCTGGACTTGCGGATTGTAGGAGCTATATAAAACATGTTGTCCTTAAAATAAAACTTTCAATCGAAAGTATCTCAATAGCATTTTGATCATAAATAGTTTTGAACACACAATAACCTATTCCAAACACATTCAATGAGTTCATTTCTTAACTTTGGTTTGGGTTTACCGTGCAGATAGCTTCATTTTTGCTGTATTTAACCGATGTTCAGGAAGGTGGGGAGACCATGTTTCCGTTTGAGGTAAAACCAAGTTTGGCATATTATCTTGTTTCATAATTGATCCCCGCATCCCAAAAACAAGAAAGAAGAATTACTAGGTACTTAGCACATTATTATTCTGCAGAATGGCGCGAACATGGATGGTAGCTACGGGTATGAGGCCTGCATTGGCTTAAGAGTAAGGCCTCGCCAGGGTGATGGACTTCTATTTTATTCTTTGCTCCCTAATGGTACAATTGATCCGGTTAGTATTGTTCTCATCATCATTGTTATTATCATTTTTAACTTGTTTGGTTATCGTCTGGGTAAAGGCTGAATTAACAACCCCAAAATATGAAGATTGGGATCTCGTCCCTCAATGCAGAAATTCTAATTCTTCTACTTTTATTCACTTTGATTTGAAACTACGTAATGTATGCTTCTTAGCTGCTGTTGCATTTCCGACCATTGAATTTATCAAACACTATGCTTGAAGATAAAAAGTCTAGTGTCCCAGTCACTCCACCACCACCATTGAATTACCTAAGAGCATCCAACAGTATCATATGGTTAAAGTAAAACTATCCACTGAATAGGTACTAAGCCATTGGAGTACTGTAGAATTAAAAAAAAAAAATTACATTTATATATTAACCTCCTAAATCGGTACATAAAAAAAATGGTTTCAAACTGTTTGGTGTATGTTGAAATTTACAGTTTTTTTTTTTGGGTGCAAGACAAGTTAATGTAAACAATTAGACAGTACGTACTAACAAGGTATTCTAGATGAGCTGTGCAGAGTCGAGTGATTATAACTTTGTGTCAGTTCCTTATTTAGTTGATAGACTTGTGCTAGTGCAAATTGAACTCTGGTTGTTTGACTTGTCCTGTGGATTGTTTGGCAGACCTCACTCCATGGGAGCTGCCCCGTGATCAAAGGGGAGAAGTGGGTGGCTACAAAGTGGTTAAGGGATCAAGAACAGAAATGATTAGATAATTGGGACCTGCAATCGAGATTCAAATTCTTGCATCGATCGTAGTAGTTATGTCTTTTTTGTAATAAGGTCATTATCTGCCGCCCGGTTTGATTTTTATGGTCAGATGAATTATCAAGGGAAAATTTTTATCAGATGCTAAAATTGTATAACAAGACTGCAAATTTTGTTAGTACGGATGCACCACTAGCTGGCTATCAAATTGAGTGGCCTCATTGCCCTCTACTTTTCATTTCCTCTCGTGATTCCCGATCTGAATTTATATTTTTTTTGGTGGGGCTAGGTCGCTGATATTTAACTATACAGTACTACAATATTACGTACGATAAAGTGGGTTCAGAATTAAAACTATTTTATTTGGTCAAAGAAATAGATGATAGAGGTTTTAGTAAAAGAAACAACACAGTCAATGGATTTGGTCAATCGACTAACAGAAATTAAATTAAAAGGAGAATCGGGAAGATATAGAATATGATCCAGAGATAAATTAGGTAAAAGAAGAACCGTGTCAATCCTCCTTGATTGGACCAGAGACCCATTGACCATAGTAATAGTGGGAAAAGAACCAATAGTACAAAGGGAAGTAAATAAGGACTTATTACCATAAATGTGATCAGAAGCCCCAGAATCTAGAGTTCAAAGGCTAATAGAGTGCAACTGAGATATGCCAGCAAAAGAATTATCAGAATTACCAGTGGGAGCAATGGATGCAGTAGGACCTGATGTTTGCTTCTCAGACCACCAAGTCACAAATTTGTTCAGAAGAGCAGTTGGAGGTTGTGCACTGGAAGGTAACTTTGGAGCAGAGGTACTAGAGAAAGCATGAGCAACATGAGCATTCCGAGAAGGTGGAGGTGGCCTTCCATGAAGCTTCCAACAGCGGTCAACAGTATGATTGGTCTGATGACAATGAGTGCATAACAGCTTTCCTTTAGAGAATCGACGTCCACGTCCATACCCTTGAGCAGCAAGAGCGGAAGAGTCAACAGAATCTTCTCTACGTCCACGACCATACCCTTGAGCAGCAAAAGCAGAAGAGTCAACAGAATTCAATGGGGTTATAGGCATCATAGGAGGTGCTGATGACGTAGAGGGCTTAGAGGGAATTCTAAGCAAGGTAGACATCACGGAATCCAGTGTAGGAACTGTAGCAGATCCCAAAATTTGATCCCGATTGGCAGACAAATGGTCAGGCAAACCATATAAAATGAACAGCATAAACAGTGTATTACGTTGTTCCTGTTCCTTAGTAACATCACGAGTGAGAGGCAGAAGTTCATTAAGATCATGAAGTAGACTCTGAGCTTTCCCCAAATGTTCAGTCATAGGACAATTGAAGTCCCGAGGAGCAAAGGTAGTCATCAATTTCTGACACACACCATAGAGTCTCTGGGTATCATTGGTGTACAGTGCTTTTGCCTGACTGCAAATAGCTTCACAAGTAACAGCAGGTCGAAAAATCTGCTTGATAGACGGATGAATAGTAGCTTTAATGAGACTACACAACTGAGCATCAATCATCTTCCACCGTGTGCGCTCCTTTTCCGCCACAGATTCAGCCTTAGTGGTGAGATGAGATGTATAATTATGCCCATCCAACCAAAGTTGCAGATCGGAAGACCAAGTGTCATAGTTGGACCCATCCAATTTATCCACACTCAACGGAGCAAGGATATAATTGGAAAAAATAGTAGACTCTGACTTTTGTCCAGCCGGAGTCCCAGAACCAGGAACATTGGAGACAGGAGGGTCCATAATCAAAAAGAAATCAGAAAGAACAGATCACAGAACTAACCGGTAGAAGAGGGATTTGTGCGTCAACGCAAAAAGATGTCGAAACAGAAAAACAAGACCGGATCCAGAATCGTCTCAGCAAGACGAAAAAATCGCAACCAGCTGCGGCCGGAACGGAGGCTCCACGCGCCTCCATGCGCCGTCTGTTGGAGGAGGGTGCTGAAACTTGCATGCGCGCGTGAGAGCGCGTGGGTGGTCTTCTGAGGGAGCGGCCGGTGCCGGTGTGACCGCGTTGTCAAGACGATCACTGCGGTAGGCTGCGTGCCTGAAAATTCCACTGGACGGTGGTGGTTGACGGTACAGAAGCGTGAAGCGGAAGAAAATCGTTCGGAAACTGACAACGAGAGAGTTCCGGGAATTTTTTTTTGTAAAATACGATGAACAGTGGGTTCACCGGAAAAAAAAATTCAAACGTTCCTTAGTCTCTTGATACCATGTTAAATAACGAGAGAGAAGAGAGGAATATTTGAAATAATACTGTGTGTATTGACTGATGAAGGCTGTACAATATATAAACAGACTAGTGGACTAAGCCCAAACCTAATGTAATCTGACCTAATACAAAATAAGAAAACCCTAATTACAATATATTTCTAATAGACACTTTACTTGATGTTCCCTCACTGAATCTTTACATTAACTAGATCTTAATTTATTTATTTTTTGATACACAACTAGACGTTAATTTATTACTTAGCTCATGGGTTAATTATATATGGATGCTAACCGCTGTCCCTTGTTCCTATGGTCGCGATAATATAATCTCTCTCCATTGATAATATTATTTAACGACCCTAATCAGTGCAACTCATTGACAAATGCCTTATTATGACTTGACATAAATAATCCCAGAAATTTGCTTCGCAAACCTTAGCAATTTTTAGTGACATGTAATGCGAAGAATGCAACCAATTTTACAATGCAATCATTAATCAAATTTGGACTAATTGCCTTTGTCATACGACTTCGCCTCCGGTACATATTAGATTTTTTTTTTTTTTTGATATCAAGTACATATTAGATTTTTAATTGCCACTTTCTTTGCTTCTCAAAATTATAAAATCATCATCATTTTGTTCTTCTCACGAAACTTTTCATTGCTTTGATGGAAAATTGAACCAGGCATTTCTCTTGTAGAATCTGCCAACTCATTTCCACAAGTATATATATAAGAAATCATCATACTATGTGAGTGTGACATGCACATCTCAATCCAATAAAACTTGTGATTGAAACTAAAATAAAACAGTATCAACCGACACGGCAAATTACATACGGAAGATTACAAGAAGATCCATTGGTTAATGATCATGAACACAGAGACTGAAAATTTATCAGGAAATTCAAGGGAGTGATGAGTAATTAAGTCTCATATTGATTAAGAATAAACTAAGAATTGTATAAATGAAAAAACCTATAAGTCCAATATTATCCAAATGGTGTTAAAATCATTGAGAGAGAATAATCCGTGTTAGAAAAATTACTTCAATAATATTCCAGTTTTATGAAATACACGCAAGAAATTGATACATGCAATAAACAAAGTTAAAGCATATTATACTAAAATATATGAATGTAACAAGGAAAAATTCGAGCCCATTGTTATACATTGTGTCTTTAAGACAATTTTGTCATCTCTATGGTACCCAAGATTCATGTACAATTATCTCCCTGGATAGAATGGATTATCTCTATTCTTGTGATGACACTACCACGTTGAACCGCCTCATCGAACTCAACCTATGTCAGACGAATCGCACTAGAGTTGAGGGATGCAAATGCAAATGCAATGTGGAAAAAAAATTCTCTTAAGTTTCGATTCTCTATTTATTTATAGAAAATATAAGGTCACGATTCAAAAAGTACATATTCGACAACGAAACAACACATTCATTCAACAAGAAAGGACACGCTCATTTGACAATAAAAAGACACACATTTTTTTATATCAAACTTCTTATTCATAAACATAACTAATTCAAAATTAATTCCAACATTCAATGCTAAAGATTTTGGATAAAGACATAATATCAAGTCCATTTATTATGGTTTGAGCTTCCTACTTAATCCATTGATGAAGCTCTTCTATGTTTTGGGCCTCCTTTGATGACCTAACAAGTGGTATGGTTTGGTTGAGTATAGGGTCTTGATCACCCTTGGTTGATAATCTCATTAATAGTTAAAGAAGCTTGAACGAGTGCGCTATCTATAAAAAAACTTTTGCTAAGTGTGCCACATGGGGATTAGCATTTTTCACATACGTTAGCCAAGTGACACATTTTTCCTCCCCTATTCTAGTAATTAAATTGTTCTTGTAACTTCCACAACTAAGATTTCAACGTCACCATCAATTCATCATTTCAAATTTGTATACTAGAGGAAAAAGAGTCCATGGAAGGATCCACGTCCACGTTAATGGGATAATCTTTACTAATGATGTTATTTTGAAAGACATGAATATATGTTATTGTTTCAATTCAGAAAAATAATAATATTTGCAATTTTGTAATTATATAAGAGATTCTTTTCTTTTTTTATATAATGATAAAAATTGAACACTTAACATAATATAAACTATCCAAATTACTCATCACTAGAACAATCTTAGTGGTTTATATAAGAAATTCTTAGGTTTTTATAAATTTATGGAATCGATTACTATTTTGTTATTAAGTCGTAAGAAAATAAAAGGTGAAGAAGAGTACAAAATATTATGTGATTAATTGGTATTTAAAATAAAAAATAAAAGTAGGAGAATAGAAAATGTTGTCTCCAAAACAAAAAAAAATGACAAAGTTGAAGGTTTTCGAATGACATTTAATATATTGAATGAGACAATAAGTTTGATAGATTGAGAAATTTGAACTCTACCTCCATGAGCAAATGTTTCCAAATAACATTTAATATATTGGTGGACTAGAAAATGTGAACTCTACTTGTGAGACAGGTTCATGAATGTCAAATAGTTTAAAGTGTTAAATGTTTATGGTGAGCCCAAATATGTTGAATGTTCTTAAATGTTGAAGGTTTATGATAGATTGAGAAATATTTAATGTTTTTAAATAAAATTCAATATATTACAGGAGATAATGTATTTAGTGTACTGTAAACTTTGAATTCTACTTATGTACATATAAGAGATAAATGTCTAACGTTTTTAAATGTTCAACGTTTTTAAATAAAATTTAATATATTACAGAAGATAATTAATTAACTCTTGCGATTATGATACAGGTTTGTGAGATAGAGAGGGATGATGCTATGATAGTGCGTCATGTGCTGAGCCTATTTAAAAGAAGAATCCAATTTATGTGGCATTTTCATAGTGCTAGACTGCTTGCTAGTAGGGGTGAAATTGGGCCGGGTCGGTCTACAGGGGCCTACGGCTCTGCCTACATCAGGCTAGATCTGACCTAGTATATTTTGTATAATAGGCCGGGCTCGGGCCTTAAAAAAGCCTGTTTAATAAAAAGGCCGTAGGCCCACTTTCAAAAGGCCGGGCCTATAAACCTACAGGCCGACCTATATTGTACTATTTATTTTAAATAAAATAAAATAAAATAGAGTAAGTATGCCTTGAAGAAAAAAAAAGATATAAATTTAATCAATTGTAATTATTTATAACTTAATCATATTCGATTATATTTTAATAGAAATCTTACTTTATTTCTTATATAGGAGGAACCAACATCTCAACATGTTAGATTGTGTATATGAATATATTTAAAGATTTTGGGCAGAGGTTATACTTACTACAAGCATCATGATGTATTTGTTGGATTCATGTAGTTATTTTAATTTACATAGTACGGTTTTGTTTGTTGGATCTGATGAAATATATGTTATTTAATTTGAGCATTTTGCTTTTGAAAATGACTTAAATGCATATTGTATTAGTTTTGTTATGATTCATGATTCTGTTTGGACGTTGAAATTATGATTTTTGGTGTAGCAACAGAATTTGAGTACTTTGTAAAGTTGATTCATGGTTCTGCTTGAAAGTTAAAAATTAACAGGCTAACGGGCCAAGCCAGACCATTTGTTTTTTTTTCATAAACGGGCTAAATCAAGCTAATAATTAGACTCATACTAGGCTTGGGCCGGGCCAAATTGAAATTTTTTGACGTAAGCTTGGACTTTTTGGGGCAAAACTCGGCCCAGCCCAGCCCACTTTCACCCCTACTTGCTAGTCATGTTGCGTGGTCAACAAATTTTATACATTTTAGTAGTTTTTTTAAAAAAAAAAAAAAACAGAAAAAGTTGTTTAGTATAACAGATAAAAAAAAATTATTTCATTAATGGAGTGCAAAAAAATATTACACTTATATCAGGAAAAAAAAATGAAGAACTTCTTTAAATAAAAAAAGAAAGAAAGAAACTATGGTTGGCGAGTAGCCATTCGTATTGGCATCCAGCTACAACATTACCGCGTAACTATTACGTGGCCACTTATTCATACGCTGACACGGATGCCACGTGAGGATCATAACACCTGTTAGGTAAGGACGAACTAGAAGTGGAAAATAGACGTAATAGTGTTTAGAGCACAATTAATGAACCCAATTGTGTTTGTGTGTTGAGCTTGAGCCATCCCAATTCCCATTCCAAATTCCGTATATCTATCTACCCATCACCCATTATTCCCACTCACCCCACTCACCACTAAACTCACTCCTCTCTAATTCTCTTCGATTAAAAAAAGGAAAAGAAAAAAAGTTAGGGTTTTCTGGTTCTCTCATCTTTTCCCTTTCAGACATGGGAGGTGGCAACGCCCAGAAGTCAAAGATGGCTCGTGAGAGGAATCTCGAGAAGCAGAAAGCTGCCGGCAAGGGTAATCTCTCTCTCTCTCTCTCTCTCTCTGTTACCTTATAATTTCAATTTTATCGTCTCGTTTACATGCCGACAATTTCTCGAGAGAAGATTTAAACGCCAGGTTTCGATGCCTTCGAATTCCTTAATTTTTAGGAGTAAACCTAAAAGATTTGAAAAATAAAAATACAAATTCTGGAGAGTAGTTGAGACTCTGTACGTGTTAGATCTGAATCATCTGATGTAGTTAGTGATTTTATTTTGTTTGGTATGTGAAGGAAGCCAGCTGGAAAAAAACAAGCAAGCGATGTCGATCCAGGTAATAATAATCTGCTGTTTCTGACCTCATTCCAGCTTTTCATGTGTCATCTTCTTTTGTTTTTTGCCATAGGAGCTGAATTTTTTAATTTTTTTTTTAATTTTTTTGGGTAAGTACCGTAGAAGCTGAATTTAAGACATGGTAATATCTCTGTGGATTAGGACTGCTGCATAGATTTGCATCATATGTACATGTAGTCTGCAATTCTTCTTGTCTAATAGTTTTTTGCTAATTTTTTTGTTTTTCATATATATAACTGACAACTGCCTTCTAATTTCAGCAATTTATTTACAGCTATGAAAGGAGTTCTATGTTTTGTGCTTGATTCTCCTTCCTTTGGGCTCAGGGCTGTTTTATTTTTATTGTTTTGTGTTATATCTTGTGCATTTTAAATCTCCTTTTCATAGCAACGGTGGTTAAATTAGAGCGCTATTATTGGCCTTGAAAGCAGAAGCTTTGAGAACTATTGGTAAATTCAAATCTGAGAATATGTGATCAGGATTCATACGAGGTCATTGTTTATGCCTAAATACTGAGGGAAATTATTAAATTTCACTTTGTTTTCATGAATGTGTGTGTGCCATATGAGCTCTTTTTGTAGAGGTATGCCATGTGTTCATCGCATATACACTTGCCTGAAATTTCTTAAGGGTATGTTTGGGAGTTGGGAGAGAAAGGGAAGAGAAGGAATCAAGGGGATATTGCTGTGTTTAAAATAAACAAGGGAAAGGAAATGGAGGTTTAAAGAAAAATAAAATAATCATAATACATTTTTTACAAATTGATCTTTTGTTAATATTTAATTAACTACTATAATAAAATTGCATTTCATCAATGATATTTAATTTGGAAATATCAATAGACGTATCGCAATAGTAACTTAGTTTCTCCTTCAAAAGCCTCTTTGGGAACTTAGAAAGTGAGGATTGGAGGCTAAGAAGCAGAGACATAGCGGCCCACCTAAATTTAAGTGTTTTGACATAGATATGACTCCTTTTTTTGAAGGAATTCATGCATCATAGTTGGAGGATTTTGAAGGGTAAGCTGAAAATCTTACATTTCCTTCCCTTTCTTAGAATATCTCTCAAACAGAATCAAATCCTTGTCTTTAATCCAAACATGCTCTGAGTAGTTATTCAGCAATTGGTATTTTTCAAATTCATCAAAGGTTTTTTTTTTGGAATTTTTGTTTTTCTACTAATTGCTAATTACTTACTCTGATTGATTCTGTTAGACTTAATGTATATTCAATTAGCAGCATGCAGTTGAGTTGACAAATTTCTCTGGTGGGACCTAATTGTTTCTATTGGTTCCATGCATGAATTGTATGATACATTGTGTCAAAATCTAAGAATTTTCCTTCAATTTCTCTCAAAAAGATATTCTCTAATCAGATTATTGAAATATACACTTTTTGAATGATGTTCCATCACAATAATGTTAAAATCTTTGCTAATTTTGAAGACTTGATTATAGATTTGTGATATCTTAGTCTATCGAGATTTCTCTCTGTCTCTCTCTCTCTCTCTCTCTCTCTGTGCATTACTGTAGGGACTGCTGTAGAATGGAGCCTTTTACTGATTATAATGTTGTAATTGATGATTGCAGTGCAAGGTATGCATGCAAACATTTATATGCACCACATCAGAAGTGAAGTGCAGGGAGCATGCTGAGGCCAAACACCCTAAATCTGATCTTTATGCCTGTTTCCCTCATCTTAAAAACTGAGCATTGGGGGGGAGGGGGGGGGGGGGGGGGTTTGCATGTTGAGACATGATATCGTCATGGCCTCTTCTGTAAATCTGTCCAGAGATCTTCAATTTCTTTTATATCAAACGTGTCTGTGTTTGTGTCTTGGGGGTTAGGGAGAGATAAGAGGGGATAATTAGTATGTTTTTCCCTTTATAAAGTGTGAGAAACTCTGTTAATTTTCTCTTTTTATGTCGAAGTGTATGTGTTTAATGATCATTAGTGTTAATATTAAGCTTCTTACAAAAACATAGCATTGCATGAAGTGTTTGACTCTATCTACAAACAGGGATAATTCAGGATGCTCTAGACCTTTGACACCACCTGATTTCTTCCTTAACCAGTAACTCATCAAACTCCCCAACCAACACTAATTCTCTGGCGAACTTATAACTTGGTGGTGGTAAATAATGGATATCATTAGGTGCTGTTGTTTAATTTTAATCTTCACCATCAGTTCATCAAATTGAGCTCTGTCCCAGTCACATAGCCTCAATCAATATTTTTCTCATTTCAATATTAAAGTTTTAGTTTCATTTTAAAGATCAAGATTATTAGATATTATTGATGAGTTCGCTTTTTTTGCAGTTACTGCAGATAAGTTATCTGCAGTATGTCCAATACGACGTCGTTTTGGAACGGAAATTATAGTGTTTTTGTAATTTTAATTTATTTCAGGATTATTTTGTTTTTATAATTATAATTTTTTAATTTTTCAATTTCAAAACAACGTCGTTTTGAAAATAAAGGAACATAATTTATCTGCAGTAACTACATAAATATTTTTCTGATTATTGATATAGGAATTAGAAAATTAGATATTACTAATATACAGAATTAGAAATATAAATTAATTTCCACTGGACTCTTTAGTACAAATTTCTGCTAGACTCTTGGACAGTTGGACTTATAGACGGGTCTGATTTTTTTTCTTTTTTTTTTTTAAATCTAAAAGAAATATAAGTATCATTAAATTCAAATTATCATTGCTAGCTCGTTTAAGTCTGAAATTTCAAGTTATCGAATGAACCAACTAACCTTGGTTGGTTCATATAAACCTTTTCTTTTAAATGTTCATTGTAAATTGAGTTTTAGTTTTTTTAAAGGGAAAAATTATTCTCATATTATATGAGATAAATTTTTCCTCTTATACAACATTCGATAACTGTTTCATTTTTTATTTTTATTTTTTATATGGTGAAACTCACAAGTTTGTTTCTATGACATGAAATAGATTATCTCCTTTAACATGAGATTAATAAAATTCTTTTTTAAATCTATTTACTGATGAGTTAGTAATTTATTTTCATTAGTGTAACTCTAAAATATAATGAGTTACTAATACTCTAAATCATAATGAGTAATTCTAAGAGAATCTATAATACATTCAATCAATACTGTTATGGCTAATGATGGTTAACCATCGTCTAAAAAGACTGAGAACAGGCTCGATCTTTGTTGTTAGTCATTTATTCGAATACAATCTTCAAGTGTCATAGTAACGATAAAGCTTTTGTTGACTTTCAGAATGTGATTAACTTTTCTTCTGCCTGAACTTTTGCCTACCGGAATCAGGCTTGAATCAATGAAGACGGTGATCTGAAGCCAAAATCTTTTGCACTTTGTTAAACTAGCGTTTATCCTGCCTCATTTTCTACAGTTAACAAGTCTACAGTAATCACACCGTGCGCCCTGCCTAGTGACATTGCACCAGTTTATAAACATAAAGCAAGATTGAAAACTATATGCAGCTTAAGGCGGATCAGCTACCACGATGCATTCTCATACTTCGAGCACACTGTTTTATGTTTGGCAGTAATGCCCCATCAGGCATCAGACAAGAAGTGTATAATGCATGAAACTGATGCCGATATATATGCACTTGACCCTTCACTTTAATGATCTAATCCCCTAACATGAAGTACATGTCAGTGTCACCTTCATCCAATAAGAGTTCCCAAATTGCAAATGGTCCGCAAAGCCGTTTTACATGAGTGGTAGGGGCTCATCAAAAGGGGGAGAGGTAGATTGATTATACTCGACAATAAGGACACCCTAAACAATGAAAGGGGAAAAATATGCACAACTCACAACTGTGAAGAACTTTTGCCTATTCAGATGATTTATAACGGAACAATAGCGCTTGTGTAAATCAAATACATAGATTACGAACGAATTTAGTGAAGAAATGATATATTCATGGAAAAAGGTGGGGTAGAGGCCACAATTCTACATTATTTGTGCGTTTAAATTGGCTTTTTTCCAATTTAAACAACTTATAATCAAAATCCAATTAAGAGCGCTTTTTTTTTTTTTTTTTTAAAAACAGCAGCAATTTTTACAAAAAAATTAATCAAAAACAAGCATGCACTTAAAGTTCTTAATATTATAATCACACTTTCAAGATACAATTTTAATTTTCAACGACAGACTAACACATTATTCATCTGGAACAAGATAATGATATTGTTACCTTCCACAAGAAAAATAACCAACTATAATTAACAGAGGGCAACCATGCCGCATGTTAGGGTATTATAAAACAATCCCACATATATGGACTCAGGTTTATGGAGATGTAGTTACTGTGTCCTCATTCTGCTACTTTCTGCTGCCCTTACCTGAGAGAAATATGGATGTGCCTACGGGATATACACATCAAGGAAAAAACTGTTAAATCAAAAGATCATAAAGTACCATGTTACGGTAAATTAATGAACCCTTTATATTACCATTGCTTCTCTTGCCGTTAGCCGGTCCTGGTGATCATATCGAAGGAGCTTATCAAGAAAATCAATTGCCTGCATGCCAGATATGTTGAAATAATCAAAATCTATTAATGGAAATTGCTAATTTCATTATGTACCAATTGTTGGGTTATAATGCCATATTGGAACATGGATTAAATGACCTCTGGAGACACAAGATGCTGATTATCTGCATTGATAAATTTAGACCAAGGCTTGCGACTGTGCCTGCCGAAGGAAATAGCATAACATAATAAAAGTTGTGCGAAAGCAATAATACTTCTTCATATAGATATCAAGAGGAAATAAAGTCAATAAAAGCAGAAAACTTCTAAGGAGAGAGCTCAGAGAGGTAATATTGCATTGCCATGGAAGATATCATGAAAAAAATTAGTGAATTCACTAAATCAAATATGTTATGAAATATGCGGAAAATCAAATGGAAGATGATACCTTCCAACTAGTGCATCAAGTTGAGGATCAAGCTCCAGATGATACTTATTCAGATATGCATTCAGTTCATCAGTCCCAAGCACCTGCAGATCACATATAAAAAGCTAAGCAAATGAAAACTTTAGATCTGGAAAGAAAAGTATTTCTACAGAAGTCCATTAGAAGGGGGCAACTCGTATGGGGTGAATGTTTCAGCATGAAAAACAACAGCAAATAATTTAGGGCATACTTAGTTATCCACATTTAATAAAAGATAAGATATTGTAGTCTGAAACTAAAACAGGATATTCACTTCCATAGCATCAACACGATAACTTTGCAATTTTTATACGTTATTGCACCATGAATGTTACCTTAGCTATTTTGACAAGCTGATCATGGTTGTCGTGACCATAAAAGAAAGGTTCCTTGCGAAATATCTACATGAAGTAAAACGATTATAATGCAGAATTACATGATCTTGCACATATTTATTCAAAATTAGACTTCATATAAAAATAATGCCAACGGTATGTCACATATAACCAGCTAATTGTAACCTGTAGCTATATCTCACCATTCCAGCAAACATGCAGCCAAGGCTCCACAAGTCTAATGAGTAGTCATAGTCTTGCAAATCAACTAGAAGTTCAGGGCCCTTGAAGTATCTGAGAAAGAAAAAGCATAGCACAGAGAAATTTTGGTGAGTTTATTCAAGAACATGAGAAACCAAAACTCATCCTCAGATAGCAATATCATAGAAGTCTAGAAAAATTTAAACAACAATTTTTCTGTTGCCAAGTTTATACCTGACTAACAAATACAAGCAAATTAAAAACAAAATAAAAAAAAAGGGAATTGTCATAGTAAATTAATGTTGGCTTAGAAAGAAGCAAAAAATGTCAATATCATTATAAACCAAGCGGAAGACTAGGGACCTGAAACATGCTATAATAAGAGTTGACAGCAGTTTAGTTTAGTTGACCAGACAAAAGGACATGAAAATGTTTCAGCTGGGAAAAACAAGAGAGAATACCACTAAACTAGCCTCAGAACCTAAGTTCTTATTTTGTCCCAGCCAAGAGTTCTTGGAACCCCATTAAATCTTGCTCATCCCTTCTGCCTAACAGCCTGGCACATGGCATCAAATGGCTGATTTTTGTGCTTTTAATATCTTCAGCTAGGCCTAATAGACTCAAATATCCTTTTACATTACTTAGTGGAAGTGTGATTTAATGAGGAAATCAAGGTTGGATGCAGTATGGAGATGCAAATTTACGGATTATTGTGTTATTGAGGAATTATATTTCTCTTAGAAATTTTAGGAAAATATGTTCTTAAGAAAATATTATCATGTTAAGATTTCTTATTTAATCAGGATTTCATATTTTAGAAAATTAATATAAGATTAGGATTTTATTAGGATTTATCTAGAATTTTTATTATCTGTGTTATAAATACCCATTAGTACTATATGTTATTACGACTTTCAATTATTATATAAATTGATATTTCCTTTATTCAGAGAGCATCTGAAACTGGAGTCAGAGGAACACTTCGCCCTAAAGAAGCACTCTAGGATTGTCCTAAATCAGGGTTGTTAAACAAAAATCCAAAAAACATGGTCACATTTGACACATTGTGCATTAGCTTGCTGCATCAGGCCTGGATCATAAAGGTCAAACTGCTCCAGTGTCGTGAATTGCCAAGCTAATTCTTGAGTCATGAATCAAAAGTTGTATCGAATAATAAGGCTTGAAATATATCATTAAATGATGTATAATGCTCAATGTAATAATTTTAACTAGGAATTGATAAAGCAACTTAACCATAAGTCTCACAAAACAAAATCATGTCATAAGTCAGAACTAAGTCACATAAAGTGACAGCATGAAGCCTATGTTTCAGATGAGCAAAATATGACCAAATAAGATGCGTATAGAGCAATCGAGTGACTGTGTGAAGCCTTCATTTTAGAAGAGTGAAGACTAAGAAATTGAATTACCAAATAAAATCCATAGAGTGAGTGAAAGACTATGGAGCCCTTGTGTCAGAAAATGAAAACAGGGT